AGATTAGTCCTTGGGTCCTACCAGTGAAATAGAAGAGACAAGAGTAGAGCTTTTAGTTGTTGTTTTACACTAATCAGACTTCTTTTTTCTTTCTCTTCTTCCTACCTTTTTCCTTCCCTTCTCCTCTTTTTGTTCCCTCTCTCACACTGTCCCTCCCTCCCTCCCTCTCTCCATTCCTTGCCTTGCCTTCCTTCTTTCTGTCCCTCCTTCTGCACTGTGCTACAGGACGCTAGCACTTATTCTTTCTATTGTATTTTGACACTTGCTTTACAGGGAATACCAAGCCTCTAGATATTTGCTTACACTTTGCAGAACTTGTGGCTCTGTCCATGTAATCCCACAGGAGAGAGAGAATCTCAAGGTTCTCTCCTGAGGACCATCTAAAACAACCAAGAAAATGCCTCATTTGAGCTGCTCCTACTAGGTCTCATTAACCTGAGAATGGCATTGTCCCTCTTCTATCCAAGCAGGGAAGACTAGAAGCTCAGGGACTGTAACACTGCTGGAAGAGTCTCCAGCACCGCCCCTGCAAAAGTGTGACTAGCTTCCTACTTGGAATCAAGAGTGTGTCCTCAACTTGCTTCTTCCTGTGCTCCGCCTAATAGAGCCCATTTAAGTGACCATGAAAAGAATTACTTTGTTGAGATAAAAGCAGTTGAGATAAGGACCTGGAGACACAGAGTGGCTAAAGAGATTTGTCAAGCCATGTTCGTGTCAGTGAACACACGAGCAGGATTGAAATCTAAGCCTGCTCCTCTGTACTTTGCCAGGATACACAAACCTCACATATTGTTGCAGTTCCTTTATCATTTCTAGAACAAAATATCAAACACCCTCAACTTAAAGGAGAGGTTTATTTTGGCTCATAGTTTTTTTAAACATTTGGCTCACAGTTCGCTGGCTCCAAGGCAGAAGAAGCATGTACAAGGGCCTGGTAAAGAAATGGTACTTAACTTAGTTACTTTCTTGTTGCTGGGACAAAATACCTGACATCTCAAATTTAAAGGAAGAAAGGTTTATTTTGGGTCACAGTTTGTAGAGGTTTCAGTCTATATTCAGCTAATTCCAAGGCAGGGAAGCATGGCTGAGTGGCATGGAAGAGGAGAAACAGCCCATGGCATGGCAGCAGGAAGCAGAGGAGGATGAAGGGAGGAGGAGGGAGACTCTTCCAGGCCACACCCCCAGCGACCCACCTCCTCCCACCAGGCTTCAATTTCCACTATCTAATCCAGCTATAAACCCATGTGTAGACTAATCCAGTGATGACTATCACACCCCAATGATACCAGCACCTCCCCAAAGCCCCATGTATGAGTGCATGAGACTCTGGGAAGACATCTAGATATAAACCATAATACTACTCATCCCATGGCGGCCAGAAGGCAGAGAGAGAATCTGTGGAGGTAAGTATACCCTTCCAGGCCATGTTTTCTATGACCTATCTCCTCCAACCAGGCCCTACCTCCTATAGCACATTCAGCTATGTACTTATTAGTGTATTTCACTTATGATAGAGTAGCTTCATGAGCCAAGCACCTTCCAAAGCCCCACCTCTGAACACACTTTTAGGAAATATTAGATTTAAACCATAACATATATCCACCCCTAATTCTCTTTAGACAATTACTAGTTGATGTTTCTAAATGCTCATGTTACAGTTTCAGAGAATGTGAGCCAAGCTTTATTATTGCTTGGAAAGAGTTCTACTTGAAGGAGGAGAGACATATATAATCCTCAAGGGGAAGCAGGTCTGAGACTGCACAGATCTAGGGTATGCCCTCCAGGAGGGAAGCCAAGAGCCCCCTCCTCTACTTCTCAGGAGCCAGACTGAGTACACTCTGGATGTGGCATCATTCTATCCTCTGCACTGTCCCTGTCATAACAGTAATGTACCTACTTTCTCTTTAGATTAACTGATAGAGGGTTTGGTGGCAACTGAAATGTGTAGCACCTGACATGGCAAGACTTTGTCCTCCTTAAGAAGCACAGGACTTTGAATCCACCAACCCCCAATGAAACTGGCAATTACGCTGATGTTTTGCAGCCCATTCTGATCATGCATGATAGATATTGAGACAGTTGTCGAGAACAAAGGTCTTTCTGGCCAGCCAACTGAGCTTGGGGTTTTGGACCTGAGCACGTAGCTCACCTCTAACACATCTTCCTTGTGTGGTACAGACATATCCATGACCCTTATTCAACCTTTGGCTCCTGTTTCCTAGCCCCTCCCCCCATGTTTACAGATTCTCATAATGTTCTCTGAGGACAGAGGTTCTGCTCTTCTCACCTCTGTCTGGGTCTACCATGGTGTTGGGTACAACATAGCCCTTTTAAAGTGGAATGAAAGATATGAGTACCAGTAAAGGCATTTTGGGTATGGCACAGTGGCTATGATCCCTACACTTCCCATGTGTTATCTCATTTAAGCTTCCCAATAACACTACAAGACAAAATACTAGCATCTTTGATGGGAGAGGAATATGTTAACTGCCCAACGTCACAGAGTTGGTAATACTAGATGGGAAAGTCTATCTTCCAATCGATCTGGCTCCTGAGGTATTATGCCTACTAAGTGAAGATTCTTTTTCACCAGAATGCCCTGCCTTCTATGGTGGGCAGGGAGGGAGGAAAAGAGGGAATATGGATGGAGTTAAGCAGAGAGGCAGTCAAATAATTTTACTGGCATTGACATGCCTCCCCATTTTGAAGATGTCTGTTGCTTTTCACCTGAAACTTCGTGGAAGTAAAAGGGATCAAAATACAGTATGTATTACACAATGTTATGTACCAATATCACCTGATGAATATATTCATTATGTATCACAAACATATACTGATAAAAATTTTAAATGAAATGCTGTGTAAGAAATTTGGCCACGTATGTGCATGTGTGTACATGCATGTGTGCATGTGTGTGTGTGTGTGTGTGTGTGTGTGTGTGTTTTGGGGGAGATGGAGAAGGGAGAAAATGTGCCTATATTAGGTGTATCTTGGCACCTGTTCTTGGTGGCCACTTAATTGGCATCAATGATTCTTCCTGAGTATTTTATTCAACCTTTCTGCTCTTTTCCAGGATTGAGTCACCATTATCAATGGTCTCTGATAGCCCTTTCACTTATAGGGTCTCACTTGAGGACACTGAAAAATCTTGCAGCCGGGAACTGAGTCCTCTGAACTCTAATTGATACTTGGATTTATCTTGATTGACTGATCAATTTTTTCAATCATCCAGCCAACAAGTTTTTCTAGAGTGTCTATTTAATAGTGTCATCCATCATGCTGGACACTGTTAAAACAAAGGTTAAGGACGTTGTTCTTGCTTTCAAAGATCTCCAAGTGTAGTCTAGGAGACAGAAAGAGAAACTGATTATCACTGTATAACATACTAAGTGCCAAGGTCAATATCCACAGAAGTGTATCGATAGAAACACAACATCTGGCCAAAGGGGAGATGACAATTTCATAGTAGCTGCGAGATGGAGGAAGACTTGAGAGCAATGTTGTAGCTGAATTAAGAAGCCACTCAAAAGCCCAGCTAAAACTTAAGGTCTGAGGTCTTAAACCTAGTTCTTGGGAGTTCTACATCTATCATTTGCCAGGCCTTAGGCTAAGTATTTCACACATATTTTATATCTAATCCTCTCATTAGTCCTTCATAGAGGAAATGAGCTCAGCACATTGGAGTCCCATTTTTCCAAGATCACATTGTAAATAAAGCAGGCAGGATTTTAACCCAGGCCGAGATAACTCTAAAATCCATGCTCTCATGCTCTGCATCATTCTGCTTCCTCTCTGAGTTTCTAGGCTTGACAAAAATCTCCCCTATTTAAGAAGTCCTAACTGTTCCTCTTAGCCACTGAGCATCAGGGAAAGATGGAAAAAAGAGGAGAACCTAGGAACAAAAATGGAGAACGTAAAGTCCACAACCATCAAGGGTTGGACCAAGAAATGAGGTGTGTGCTTCCTGATTCCCACAAGAGGAGGTTAAGTATCTGAAATGGCATTTCCAGGACCAACTTTTAACTCACCATCCTCAGCTCCTCAAAGACAATGAAGAGAAAGAAAGAAAAAATAACCAAAAAACTATACCTAGGATGTATTTGCCTAAAGGAAATTATCCCAGCCCCATTTACATACAAGGTGAAGACACTTCATAAGAGCAAATATAAACCCATCTCTGCTTAGGCTTTGTCCTCAAGCAGGACAAAGAAAATGGACCTTTGCAACAACATGTATGAAAAAGAGTGAGAGGTATCAGTCATCACAGACCCCAGTGTGAGTAAGCAACAGCTGCAACGAACAAATGTGACCTCAAGCTGCATCAACAGGAGCCTAACATCTGTCCAGAGGGAGGGGAAATCACTGTGCTCAGCACTGGACTTCCCCACAGGCTGATGATGGACGCCAGCTCTGTATTTTAACACCAGGCCATGACAAGTAAGACTGCGGCCAGAGGAAAGTGGCCAGGATGGTAAACGCTCTGAAAAGCATTTCACGTAAGAGAGCTGAAGAAATTGCCATTGCTTTGTAGATTGACTTACAGAAGTTACAAGGTCCTTTTTAAAAAAAAGTTCCCAAGAAGGAAGACCAAATTTTCATTCTTTGTAGACAGAGAGGCCCAAAGACACAGATTTCAAGTGCTAGGGGAGAAAACTTTCAATAGTGATAGCTAGAAATGAGACAGATTCTTGAAGAGTAAGAAAGTTGTCCAAGGAGGTAATCAAGAAACACTGGAGAGTGGATGGACTCTGTCCTCTCTGAGTCTCTCAAAACTCCAATTCCAGAAAGGCTGACACTTTTTTGCCCGTGTACTATTGAAGGGCCTGGGAAGACAAACTCTGATTGTCAAAAAATAAAATAAAATAAAATAAAGGTGGGGCATGGGTCTGAAATGGCTTATCTGTGACCACACTGGTGGGACCCCACCCACTCGGTTCCTGCACCTCTTCCCACTCCCCAGAATCTCCCTCAAAACGTGGGACGTTGCCAGCGGGACTCACCTTTCTTCTCAAATTCCACCTGGTCTTCCCCTGGCCGCCCCAGGCTGTCCAGCGTGGGGGTGGCCTGGCCGCCGAACTCGTCCTCGCGGGAGACGTGGTTGGTCCTCCGCGGCAGGTCCTCCTCCTCCTCGTAGTCGTAGTCATCCAAGATGGGGGTCTCCCGGATGGGCACCCCGATGACGGAACTGTGGGCCTGCAGCCGCGACGAACGGAAGCTCTCCCGGGCCTGGGGCCCGAGCAGCACAGACGGGATGTAGTGGATCTCGTGAGTGGCTTCCGTGCTTGCACTCTTCTGGGGGATGCGGCGCCGCTTCTGCCAGCGCCGCTGGGCATACAGTGCCACCGTGAAGACCAGCAACAGCAACAACAGTGCGATGAGGCCACCCTGGAGCAGGAAGGAAAAAGGGGAAGCAAATGGGCCAGTGTTCGTTGTCCTGGGAGACCAGAAGGGCGTTCCCCATCCATGACGGTGGGCCAGAATCCCTGACGGCCTAATAGCGCCTCAGGAACCACCAACCATGGCTTTGAAACTAGAAAGACACCACTCACGCCAAATCTGGCTCTTTCACCAACATGCTGTGTAATTCTGGGCAAACTGCCAAACTTCTCTGAGCCTGGATTTTCATTAAAGCATGAGTAAGATTCCCTGATGTTTCTTTTTCATGAGGTTGACATGAGGAAGGAATGATGATGGTTATGGCCATGTAAGAGCAATCCAGCTAGCTAAATGTTGGGAAGTCAGGGCTGCAGCTTCACATGGGTATCTAATCCTGGACTCTGCCTCCTACCACCAGTGACCCCAGGATAGTTGCTCAAGCTTTCTGGACCTTGTTTCCTTATCTCTATGATGAATTCACTCTGGGCTCAAGAGCCAGTAACTTTGCTACATCCTGCTGCCAATACAAGAGAAAATTATTAAATCAAAGATAATTTCCACTATATCTTTTACATTTTCAAACTCACTGGTCTTTTAAATCTCTGGCTATCAAGAAGGGGTCTGGGACAAAATAAGTGCTTAAAAAAGTGTGTGTTGAATAAATAAATGACGGTAGGAATGAATGAAAAAGGACCTTTCTAGGATTCTTTTAATCAGAAGTTTAAGGTGAACACATCTGTCTCCTAAATGCTTGGGTTGGCATATTGTGTATTACTTTGAAATAAGGTCATGTGTTTTTAAACATATTTTAAATGATTCATAAAAATCCTGGAATGACCTGCTCTGATTTCCTTAAGAGCAGATGCATTTCCCAACCATGACTATTCCCCCAGGCACCTGGTGAGGGCGAAAAGTGGAAGGTTTGCCTCCTCCGCCCTGCCCTCATCCCCTCTGTGCCAGGAACACTTCCTCTGACCAGGAGGGAGGCCTTCACCTGCTGTCTGACTTCCCCTAGTTTATATCACAGTTCATGTCGGCGAGACTGAGGGCTGTAACGAATTACAGCAGTGTAACATGTAGATTTTAGAAGGGACACCTTGGGATGTAGGAGAGAAGAAAAGGCTCAGAAACTTAGATGGTGAGAAGCAGAGCAAGACCTGAGAATCATTTTTGTGCATTTATTTTGTTTGAGTGTGTTTTTAACTCTAAAGCCTATATTCTTTCACCTCTACCTATGTGGTCCATTGCTTCCCTTTAACATTTTTTTATTGGGGGCTAACATGATTCTTGATAGCTATCCCTATAAAATGCCACCAAGAACACAGATGTTCACCCTGAATTGTGATATTGGGGGAAAAGTGACTGGTTCTAGGATACCTATACTTAGGATAACCCTAAGCTATCATTTCATTTTGCAGGGCCCTCAGCTCACTAAGACAGAATTTGTCACTGCTACTGAGGTGGGGAGTGGTGAGTTGGTCAAAGCTCTACCTTGATTTTGGCAGTGAGCAACTTCAGAAGCTCCAAGAAAGTTTCCATGGATGTCAAAACTTATAAACCAACAACACAAGTCAAACATGGCCCAAATATGCATATTTAGGTGTTGATGTGTGTAGACCTTGTCAAATAATATGCATGAGTTGCAAACTTCCTGGTAGAGGGAGGTGAGATGGGAGTCAATGGGGGTGGAATACTTATTGGTGTTTGGCAAATACACACTGTAGGGAAATTTGAAGACATAGTCCCTACAGGGTTGTTGTGCAAAGCAAATATATTTCATTCCTCACAAAGTGAAGAGTGCTGTGTATAAGCAAAGGAGCTCTAGAAAATCCTGTGGCCATCTCTGTCCTCTGGGCCATTCCACCCAAGGAAAGCAGGTGTGTGACTCAGAAGCAGGAAGACACTGTCCTCTGGATCCCCCTTCACTGCCCTTGGCTGCTGTCCCAACCCACTCCTACGGAGTCCTACACCTGCTCTTTACCGGTGTTTGTCACCAGGGAAAAGCAAGTGGAAAAGCAGGAGCAACCAATAGAGGCTAGCAAGGCCACAGTGTCCAGCCTCTGAGCAAACACAGGTCCTGGTGGTGGAGAAAACACTGCCGGGCAAGAGGGTCACCAAGGCAGGAAGAGAAGACACAGAGCAGGCTGTGGATTTCAGAAAGCAAGTTAAGAAGAGACTTGAGGGGTGGTGAGCCCAGGTCCTCCTGGCTTCAAGAATGACCTGATGCCAAGCCCAATTTGCGCTGTGCTCACCCTGGGGCTGCCCAAGACAAACAAAGTTGGAGACATGGCTAAAAGTCCCCCAAAATAAAAAATGCCAGTCGATTAGGTAAGGGATTGCTTCTGGGAGACTGAGCTGTACAGGTATGGGAGTGATTTTGAAAATTTCACCAAGCTATTGGGCAGGAAATCAGGCAGAGGCACAAGAGGGAAGTGTGCCCTCTGCTCTGGCATCTTCCTTCCACAAGTCTCTCTATGCAGATTGCATGCCCCTCCTGTTTGTTACTGACAGCGAGTCTCAAATTCCCCAGCAGAGCCAAGCAAGGGTGAGGGCAGGAGATGTCAAGGGCAGAGTGGTGTGACAGGAAAAACCCATGTCTGGGGCATGCAACTCCCTGCCTCCCTGCTCGCTGTTGGCTGTGACAAGTGTGTTGCAATATTTCACCTCCTTGGGCTCCCAGAGGCTCCCTTTACAATGGTGCTGGTTGTGCTCAATGTGAAAAGTTATGCTAAGGATTAAACAACGTAGTAAAAGATGGGGGCAAAAAGTTTGGCACCACAACAGTCAGCAAGTACCAGCCTCAGTCCTCCAGCTCTCCTATTCCCTTATTCCAAACCAAATCTTTCTACCACAGCCTCTGGCTTAAACCTCTTCCCTAGCTCCCCAGGCTCCTCAGAATAATGTCTCAGCTTCCTAGCTTGATACTCAAGGTCCTTCACTGGATCCTTACTTCCTTCTCCTGCCTAGGTTCCCCAAAAGCCTTACGTGTCCTATCTGACATACCCTGTCCTGGAACTACAAAATGGTTCATTTCCTTCCAAAGTGTGATCCTCTCACATCTTCATGGACCATTCCTTCAGCCTAAAACATGCTTTCATTATCTGGAATCCCGGAAGGGGATGTTATTTGGAATTTGGATCTCTTCAGGGACAATTGGTGAAGGTTAGATCACATCAGATCCTAAATTCAATGACTCGTGTTCTTATAGGACACAGGGACACACAGAAAACAATAGTGTGATGATGAAAGCAGACTGCAATGATCGGTCTACAAGCCAAGGGAAGCCGATGGACCACTACAGACTGGGACAGCTTCTCCATCAGAGCCTCCAGAAGAAGCAAGAATTTTTTTGTTGATATCTTAGTGTTGAGATTTGTGGCCTTCTGAGCTGACGAAGAGTAAATTTCTTTTGTTTTAAGCCACTCAGTTTGTGGCAATTGGTTATGGCAGCACCAGAAGCTGATCTTTGCAGCTCAACTCACCCCGGCCTCTCAGCTTGGAGATCACTTCCTTGGGCAGCACCTTTATTTTAGGCTGTATTTACCCAGCCTAAGTTGTGGTGCTTGCCCCTGAAAAGGTGCATAATAAACATCTAGAAGCCTAAAATCTTGACTAGACTCACCTGAGGAATACAAATACAAGACCTTGAGCTAGCTTTTACCCCAGCATAAACATGGCCCCTGAACAAACCTTATATTAGCGCTCTTTGTTGTTCTGCTTTTTTTCCAACACTGACAACTGCAGCCAATTTGCTTACTCATACAATACCAAAAACTGAAAAATTGTAGAGTTTAAAAATAAAAAGCACCCCCAAACCACCCCAGTAAGAGAGCCTTCTGAAGAGTCAAACTTAGAATGCCATTCATCCTGGCCTCATTTTAATCTATTTTTCATGTTAAAATATCCAGGCACAGGAGAAGGAGCCAGAGAAAGGAAAGAAAGGGACAATGTGAGAAATGCTTTATTTGACAATGTGTCATTCGGAAACTGATTATTTCTGTCTCTGGCCTTTTTAATATTCCCTCACAACGGCCAAGCCACAAGGGGATTTGGTATTCTAAGACTGGATTTATAATACTCTGTTCAGCAGTGATAAGAACACAGGCCTTTAATCCTCAGAGCTGTGAACATGCATATTCTCCCAAGTAATGTCCTTTCCTTCTCTCCACTTGTTTCTGGTCCCTGGCAGCCAGCCCTGCAATGGCTGTGGACCGGTGATCCACAGGGTGTTCTATCTGGCCATTCACCGAGTGACAGAGCTGGAAAGGTAGGGGTCTGGGGCTCCAGGTTCTCGAAGTCTCTCCTCAGGCCTCATTCTGTGTTAAGCTGGAGGGATTATCAGAAAACAGTTCAAACCCTTAGTGTTATGGTCAGGGGAACTGAGAGGCTCAGAGAATGCAAGTGACTTCACCAAGATCACAGAACATCTTGTAAAGTTTTAGAGGTCAAATATGCAGCTGCTACCCTGCAAAGCCGCTAAGAAATATGTGAATCATATTTTGCAGAATTTGATCTATAAAATAGTTTCTATGACCTTCCATTTCTATCCATTCTATGGCTGTCCTATGTCCCAGTTTTCATTGTGATAATTTTAATACATGCTGAATGATCTCCTAAGCTTTATTTTCTTTCTTCCACAATTCTCAATTCATCTTCCCTAACATAACCAAAGCACAGCTGGAAACATATCTCCTCCCCATTGACTAAGTTGGAAGTCCAGCAATTTGTAGCTCTTGTGGAGCAAGCAGGCTTTCATCTTTGTGAATAACCTAGTCTCAAATGTATGCTTTTAATATATTCTTGAGGAGCCACAGTTTATTTTTTCTAAGCACTAAAGTGGCAGAATCAACTCTATGTCTTAGACAGATCACATTGGACCAGATAGAGAGCCTGGAGTAGGGAGACCAGCAAGGTAGCTGCTGACTATGAGTTATGACTCTGGTTTTCAACTGGTATCTATGTTGCTCCAGGAGCCATTTGGAACTGGAGATGTGTTTGGTTGTCACAGC